CCAAGACGAATGCGGTGAATCGTACTTGCGAGTTGCCGTTTCAATTTAGGGGGCATGCGGAACTTCATTTCCGGGTCCCATTTGTGAAGTCACCGGTGTCGCCGTTCCGGTTTGATCCAGTGCTTAAGTGTGTAGCGGCGCATCACGCAACGCAGCAGGGCGCTCGTGTCAGCTCATGAAAACGTAATGCGTACTTCAGGGGCACTGCTCAAGGCATTTTCAGGTTCAGTGTCTGCCTCTTCGTTTCTCTTCACGCCACGATGCGCAAAGATCCACAGGAAAGGGATAAGATGGCTATTTGTTGAAGCAACCTGAATAAGTTCTACGATTTCTATTGCCAAGATGTAATACGGACCTAGTCTCATGATGCAATTGATGGTTTGCAAAGCGGGTTTGGCATCACACAAAAAATGTCCAGGCTCGAGGTTGCTCTCCGGAAATAAGTCTTATTGCCTCCCGGATAGCGACAATCCCTGTGGCGGTTGATGTAGTTTTATGGTCCACTTTGAAGCATCGGGCGATATGCGTGTCTGGGACGACAAAGGCTGCGGCGGAGGTGTTTAGTGTGGCGGACCCGTGGGGTACACGTGCAGAAAATCATCTTACGTTGAATAAATTTGATGTGGGGTTAGTTGTCTGAGGCCAACAGAAGAAACGAAGAAACGAGTGACTTCTTCGTAATTCTAGGTATAGTAGGACAAACAGGTGGTTTAAGCAGGACTCATGGAGGCACTGCAGGAACATTCGGCGGGAAAAACCTCGATGGTAGAATATTTTCATGCCGCGATACCACTCTTGAGAAACTGCATTCTGAGTGAGTGGCGGGTAATACTGATAGTGGGTGCTGTCTGTGTCGGCTCAGCAATCGAAGGTGAACTCTAAGTGGCTCGCAGAACATGCATACACCGATGGGACAAGCCCGAGCCTCTGCGATGGTCCCAAGCATCTTCGTAAGCATTGAGCTTGAACAGTCTCTAGCGTTTTCACACAACTAGGCCTCATATTGGAGAGCACCGGCGTGCTGTATCGTATGTATCCTACAAATAGAGTATAGTACAATTGAATTAGCGATGATTCTGATGGGCCCCATTTCGCTCCTGTCACGTGGCGAAGAACGAGAGCAAAGGCGGGAAAATGAAGCAAATATGATTAGGAGTGACATGAAGGGGAGAATTTAAAGTACGAGGGAGAGGGTGAACCATATCATGGCGTTGTTTAGTGAGTGAGGCATGGGGTAGGAAAGGAAAGCGATGATCAGGTGAGTGGAAAGAAGGAGAAGGCAGGTAAATATAGCACAGCCTTGTCTGTACAGTAGATCAAGTGAGGGTGAGGAGGAAGGATGTTCACTTGTGGAATGAAAAGGCAGAGGTGAGAGCTTCATAATGCCCATTGTGTGTTTAGAAAAAGTGTTTAACGACTTAGAGTAATTGGTACTTTACTATGGGAGAGCAGAAGCCGTCCCTTACGAAACAATTGCGTCTATCAGCGGCAGGATTATTCTCAATTAAACCTATAGCTCGCAAGCACCAATTCGCTGTAACATTGCCTGAATATCAGGCCACAGTCAAAGTGAATTCAAACATCGCTCCTGTTCACATAAACAAATTCACACTTTTGAGACGTCACAGCTTAGCAGTAAAGTTATTCTTTTGGCGCCAATATATCTCGCCGATTAATACTTACATGCACTCCATAAAAATTTTTTTATGAACTGCAGAATTTAGCGTGCGCTATTGAAGCCGTATTCGCAAATGCAGATGCTAGCGGAAACACGTGTGCCCCAACATACCAGCGTTCGCTTTCTTGTGCAAAGAAAAAAACAAAAAATGCAACACCCACATGTGCTGCTGTAACAATTCAACGACTGAGGCTGGGAGCGCAGCACAGACCAAAGTTTTGCGCTGTCCTTTTTTGCCGCTCCTCGGTAGCAATAATAATTCCCACTGATTTGAGTGACGAGAGGCGTCCAACAGCTGGCTTGAAGAAACGAAGCTTTACGCTAACGAGCAACATACCAGAATTACTGATTAGGTGTAACCTTTCCAAGGAATACTACAGTTGAGGTACGTTTTACGTTATCTGGCTTATTAATAGTAATTGTTGGCGTTTTATGTTCCAATCCATGCATTATTTATTTATGAGAAACTTATTAGTGGAGGGCTCTTAAAAGTTTGACCATCTGGGGTTCCTAATATGTACTTGAATCGAATCAAATGGGCTTTAAGCATTACGCCTCTATGAAAACAGCCGTCGCCAACAGGATTATATCCCGCAACCTTAGAGTCAGTATTCGAACGCTTCAACCACCAGACCAGTTCTGTGGTTTACTCTACCGCCATGGTGCTGGCGCATCATTATCATTTCGTTTGGAAGATTATAAGCTGTGTTTATTGGACCTTCTAGGTACTTTCCTTGTGTCGTATGTTAGTACACTGTCGACTGGTTCAGGTACCCTTAAGCAATCTGTTTTCAGAAATATTGTCGCAAATTGACGGTAAAGTTTCAGCTGTCAGAATGTAAATCATTGTGTTCCTCAGGAATCGATCCTTGGCCCATTGCTTTTCTTGTGATTTATTAATGATCTATCTAATACTTTGAGTACTGCAGACAGTATTTTGCATGCAGATGACACAACCATTTTCACGTGCACTAATAACACCGATGACCTACAACGAAAAGTTTACGTTGATCTACAAAATCTAAGTTCATGGTGTCAAAAGAACATGTTAAAGATTAGTCCATCTGAAACCATTTTTATGGCCTTCTATTCCTTACCGACAGTATTTTCAAAATATATATTTGTCTGTTTGGACGATAACCTAATGCCAATGTCTGATCGCACAAAGTTTCTTAAGGTAATCTTAGGCAGGAATATGAAGCTCAATCTTCATGCGCAATCACTTATTTGCAACATAACCTACGGAATACACGCGATATACAAAACTTGTACATATTTTCAGCCACATATTATTCATTCCCTTTATCACGCATATATTCACAGCCATATGTCTTAGTGCATTAGCCTGGGACAACACATATTTCACCCCACCTCAACCAACTTCAACGCATAAAAAATCAAGCACATTGTCTGATGACATTCAGTCATTTCTCAACCAATGCAACGCCACTTTATCAAAATTGAAATATCCATCCTCCTAATCAACTATACCAGCTGAAGTTATCTATTGTTATGTGTCAGCTTTTCCGTGGTATTCATGAACTTATTGTAAATAACCTCGTAAATAACAACGATACTAGTTTTTCTGAGCTGCATAATCGCGTTCTGCCTAAGATTCGCACCGGCAATGGCAAGTTCACCGCCATGTTTATGGGAATCAAGCTATAGAATTCCCTTCCTTACATCATTAAATCATCAAGCGCGGAACATGCATTCGAAATCCAACAAATACATTTTGAAACAACTGTCTTCATCCTAGCAATTGCTTTTTGTTTGGGACATGTTATATTGCTTTTTCTGTGTTGTATTGTAACCTCCGATTCTTTATTTAGTGGTACATTTCTCTTTATGTTTGTTGAACATACAAGTATTTCTGATTTTGTATTTATTTTTACACTGTTCATTTTCTTTCTCACCAAAGATACTGTAACCACTGAATGATGTATACCTTCCTTTTTCATTCACATCTTTTATGCCCCCCCCCGCCCCTCCACAGTTTTTAGCTTGGGGATCCTTGAGTACTACCAATCTTTTACACACATTTTTGTAGAGTAATATTGTCGATATTGAATAAACTTTGAACTTTGAACTTTGAATAAGAATGGTTAGCCCCACTAAAGTGTATGGTATGTCATTTCAATAATTTCATATGTTTTTTTGCGTAATCCATATTTGTATATTTCCCCCAAGTTTTCCATGTATTTCTGTAAGAACCTTACGGAAACATATGGAATTGTTGTAATGACTTACGGAACGTGACAGTGAACGAAGGAGGCTTTAACTGATCAGTAGTTCTTCAGCAAAGCTTGTCACTGCAGCCAGTGTTCCGACTAATAAAATTGTCTCCGTCAGGCCAACAAATTTTAAAGCCAAGTTTTCTGGTCTAAATATTGGATCCAGAAATGTCCTTCACCGAAAATATCTCATCACAAAGTACAGTAGACTGCCTTTTTTTAACGACTTCATATATATCAAGACTATCAACCAAATATTTCCTACAGGGTGTGCTCGGGTAGTGCGTACAGTTCAAGAGGTGTTTACAGGCGCCAGGGAACGCCGTATATACTATCATCTTAGACAGCTTGCAGACATCTTTCGCATATTTCGAAGTAACTCTTCATGCTTAACTAGCGTTTACATTATCATCATCCACAAGGTCCTTGCCTTCTTGTGCGGCAAACTTGCTTCTATTGTAGTTTACAGATACCACCTTGCGACTCTATGACACACGGGAAAAGCGACAGATGAAAACACAATGTGATACACAGGTTTTCGGCAAAAAGTTGGGCGCTGTACAGAACAGGAACTAGGGAAGAGAGCGATGACACAGGCGCACAGTCACAGGTGGAAGTTTCAAGGCATTCATGTTTGTTTGTTTTTTGTCAAATGGGTATAGTCACTCAGGTTTTTTTTTTGTTTTTTTACGTAAGGAAAACTGTACCATGTGCCAACTTCTATAGCTATATATACGTGTTGTCTCTTCAATAAACATCCACTTGTGAGCGTTCGCCTGTGTGGCCGTTCTCTTCTGTTGTCTCCGTTCCGCGTACTGCGCCATTGCATTTCCGATGGAGGTGAAAATGCTTGGAGCTCGCGTGCTTACATTGAGGCACACGTTAAAAAACCCCAGGTGGTCGAAATTTCCGGAGCCCTCCACTACGGCGTTTCTCATAACCAAATGGTGGTTTTGGGAAGCTAAATTCTAAACAATTATTATTAAACTTTGGTCAGGATTATTCATTTAACCTGCTCTTGGTAAGCATCACTCCGTATAACTGAATTCGCATTCTTCCTGTGCAGTTAAGAAGAACCTCGAATTAGTACAGAGGCATGGCGGATATCAAAGCTGAAAGCTCATCGCCGACGTCCGACAAGGCGAAATACCTTCACCACTTCGAAGGCATCCTGGTGGGCGACATGTTCGAAGAGTCGCGGCTTCGATCAGCCTTTCGTTACGAGCCCAGGGAGGAGGACGTGTTCGTCGTGGGCTTCCCGAAAACAGGCACCACGTGGCTTCATTTCGTGCTGCAGCGCATCGTGAACCATGCGAGCGAAACGCCCGCACAGAGCGCCGCGACATGCTTGCCTAACGTCGCCTTCCTGGAATTCGCTGGAGGCGAGAAGGTTGAGAAGTTATCCAGGATTCCGGGACTACCACTGGTGATCAAGACGCATCTGCCCTTCGAGAAGGTGCGCTTCTCGGACAAATCCAGGTATATAATGAGGTTGAAAGTTGGGCTAGTCGGTGACTGATATTTATACGGTATGGTGAAGTAACGCACTTTTGACCGGCACAAAGAGGACAAGTGTCGTGGCCATCTTGTCCTCTTTGTTCTTGTCAAAAGTGTGCTACTTCACCATAAGGTACATTGACCAGGTATGTATGCATCTCGTGTACGTTGGGGTAGTAATTTTAATTCAAGCATTTGATTGAGCAGCTAGAGAAAGAGACGGCAATACAGTTAAATAACGCGTGGCATAACTGTGCAAATTTTTCAAGTGATCATCAAAAGAATTCAGTATTGAATTGTATTGCCTCGCGAACCGATTGCCTTGAGACTTCATCGAATCTCTCAAAGGAAGCATCCCACCACAACATCCAGCAGCCACAGATGCGAACTCAAACCTCCTCAGTGAAGCGTGGGATGCTGCGATCACCAAGTGAGACCTGGTGAGCCAGCTTCAACTGGTAGCCCCAAGACCTGTGGGTGGTCCAGGCCAGATGGTTTCTAGAATAAGGGGTATTCACCAAAAAATATTTCATCAGTAAATTTTTCCTCTCTGCCTCGTGCACGAGCAGAGTTACAGGGAATTGTGGCACCGTTCAAGCACTATTCTTCTCCTTCGCGCCTTTTACCAAGAATCATGCAATTATAGCACGCCCAGTTGTTCCCCCCTGACTTCATGATTGTGGCACAGCATATATGAAAGGAATGGCGCTTGAGAAAGCGACAACGTCACTCATAAACTCACCATGCCTATAAGCCTACTTACCCCGCACGACTACAAAGTTTTGCTGGAATGTTCACAGCAACGGTTTATTTTTGTGGAATGTGTTTTTCTACAAAGCCACAGTGATGGCTTGAAACCCCTTTAAAAGATCCCGAATGTATAGATAATGCACACGGCGAGATCCAAAGTGGCTGCGGTCGGTATGTACCACATTTTAATGTTGCATTTCACATCAATTCATTAGTACATAAATCATCCCGTCGCCGAAGAAGTTCCCAGTTGTCGATACAGCATAATATTGCCGCGCGCGTTCCCTATTTTCCCTTTTGCTTCATTCGAATTTCACCCATAAAGCCTATCAGGCATGCTCAGCGCAAACTTCGGCTCATTGCAAGAGAAGGTTCGCGAATATTCTAAATCGTCCTGTTATTATTGCGCGCAAGACGTGAACAGTCAAGATTATTCCTGAGCTTGCGCGACGACCCTGAGATAAGGTTGAAATATTCGACAGCACATGTATAGATTCCGACGCGCTTCGCCGCTTGTCAGTTGACCGACGGCCAACGCTCTGCTCGCCGCTATCAGATTCAGTGTCTTGCTGTAATCTGATTTTTGTGTGGCCACAAGTTCGGCCCGATAAACAGCTTCATCTTTCATCTGCAGTCTGCTCCATCCGTCCACGTCACGACGCCGTGACAATATGAATCAGTTACCACACCGGTACTGGAGCTGTTCGGTCATAATAAAATAGTCATGGCTCGTAGCACTCAAACACAGCTCCATAGAGTTACTCGTGATTACTCGAGAAGCTGTTCGCGCCGTCGCTTGTCTGTTGCCTGGAGCATCTACTAACGCCGAAGTCAAGCCATGGTTTAGTGAAGGTTTCTGAAAGTTTATACAGAAGATTCAATTTAAATTATCTCTATAGAAAATAACAATCTTCCTTATACGTTCTACGTAATGCCAAAACAACAAAATAGAATTAGTGTTCAAACCTGTGTGATTTCATATATTATACAGAGTTAAGTGATTACAACAGCATATTTAAATCGATATAAAAGTTCGAATGTTTTCTTTTATCATATTAGGCGTGTCTCGTGTGAGATTTCAAAATTCCACATAATTTGATTCCTTGTCTTCACATATAACTATGCGGAACTGCCCATTTGTTTATATATTCACTTGCAGTTATGAATTTTATATGGTATCATCATCAGCTAAAACTTTATTATTGAACATTTGCATTAAATTTAGTAAGTGTAACATATGTGTACATTGTCAGCTTTAGTCTGTTTTCTATTTCCCCTATATATGTACTTCGAGGGAGACCAATGCCAGCTAAATCCCTGTTATTTAGGACGTCGTCAATGAAACCATAACGTGTGACAGCTTCATACGGTAATTAGCAAATTTCTCTTAACCCTAACGACTTTATAACATTCCAAAAAGAGCACCCAATTCAGTCACGCACTTTCTAGAAAGTTGTGTTTGTGAACGTGTTTTCGCCAATGCGCTCAAGGCCTGTGTCCGTGTAAATAAAAACAGGTATGTCTACGTGCTTCGGAACCCGTACGACACCTGTGTGTCGTACTACCACCAGGTGCAACAAAAAGCCCCAGGTTGTCGTGACCTGACCTTCGACGAGTTCTTCGAGCAGTTCATAGACGGATGGGTTCACCCGAATGATTACTTCGATCACCTGGCGTCCTGGTTTGCGCACAAGGCGAGACCTAACTTTCTGTGCATAGCGTACGAGCACATGAAGAAAGATCCTCGTTCGGGTATTCAACAAATTGCTGCGTTTCTCGGAAAGGAAATCGGCGACGATGCAGTACTGGATGAAATCATACAGGTATGTCGCGAATTTATTCCACTGAAGGAAAAGTGCTCATCTAAGAAAGAAAGATTCTCTCATTTAAAATTTATTCGAAGAATAAAATGTAACCCTCAAGCGTTCAACCCATAATTCTTCATTGTTCTTCAGGAGTGAAGCAATGAAATAGCAGTTAGAATTGTCACCATCGTCATCATATGACTCAATAACATCGATTAGGGCAGAAAAAAAATTTGTTACAGAGAATACCGATGGTGAGTACGATTGTCGATTATGTTAGTTAATTGCAACTAATCGTGTTACGGTGCAAGTTCTGTAGCTCGCACGCTTTCGCTTTTCCAAAAAGCCTCATGGCCAATGTCAACAAACCACTAAAGTCTGTTTATTTGTTTTTGTAGTTTTGTTTGCGTAAATACTGCATGTTCAGATAAGGGATTAGGGTTGGGGACTTGCTTTAAAATCTGATCATTGAAATACCGTAGATGTGTGTGGTTTATGGAGTACTCTTAATTCGTATGCTAATATAAATGAGTATCTTTTATCCGCTTTTGTTTTATTTTGTTTTTTCTACAATATAGACCGTATCTCCGGATATTATGAAAAGAGCCTTCGCCGAAGCGCTTTCTGCAAGGCAACAGGAGAAGTCTGTCAAAGGCCGTCCCCCGAACGGAGCTTCAGAAGACTCGTCTAACGGAGTTAGCAAGCTCCAAGGAGGAAGCCTTGTGAGGACAGCGACTGTCGGCGACTGGAAAAACCATTTCTCGGCCTCTCAGATTGAGCGCATGAAAGCCAAAATGGCGTCCAAGACTGTCGGCTTTCGAACAGATCTGGAGATTTTGTGGAAGGATGCCAATCTGCCGTGAATGGCCTATTCAATATGCACCACAAAGAAACAATTCAGCAATTTCGCGCATGCCCACATGCACCCTTCTGGAATAAATTTCGGTTAAGAATATCACTAATAAATTTTTTTGTTTTAAATCAAATATATGGCTTTCGTAGACTGGAGAGAATACTAACGCATGGTGCGAAGGACCGGGGCGTACAATGAAGTAATAGCGTTGGAGAAGCGAGAGATACAACAAAAATAGCATTCTTGAGAACAAGTTCGGGATCGTTAGTGCGATCACGACTTCCTGACGCTTTGCTTACAAAGAACACCAACTTTAACTAAGTTCGCATCTCACAGTTCACCTCACCAACACTGCAACAATAACTTTAGCAGTAGGCTTCTTCCCGACTCCTGCCCTTTACAGAGAGCAGGAATCGGGGAGACCCCTTCGACTCCTATCCTGTATAGAGATCAGCAGTCAAAAAAAAGCCTTCGACCCCTGTCCTCTATAAAGAACAGGAGATGGGGAGAAGGCTATGACTGATTGATTGATATTTGGTGTTTAACGTCCCAAAACCACCATATGGTTATGAGAGACGCCGTAGATTATAGAGACGCCGGAAATTTTGACCACCTGGGGTTCTTTAACGTGCACCCAAATCTGAGCACACGGGCCGACAAAATTTCCGCCTCCATCGGAAATGCAGCCGCCGCAGCCGGGATTCGATCCCGCGACCTGCGGGTCGGCAGCCGAGTACCTTAGCCACTAGACCACCACGGCGGGGCGAGAAGGCTACGATTCCTGCCCTGAGCCCTCTATAGAGGGCCGCAGTCGTGGAGAAGCCTTCGGCGTTGCAGTCGTCAACTAACACTTATGTGTCGATATGGTTGGCGCTGATCACATATACTCGTTAAGTTGTATAATTGAGAATGACACTCTGTATTGTATAATTGATTTCCATTCACTCGTTGCTTGCTACTGCACCACCAGTTTTCGTTTATCTGCCTTTCGGAAACGTGGTTGTGCGACGCAGACCGTAACATGTATTCTTTTCCACAGTATCAGGCAGAGTATTGTCACCGATCTTATGACGCGCATGGTGGGGCTGCAATTTTTGTTTCCAGTGGGGTTTCGTACACGCGCAGGTTTGATCTGTCTTTCACCGTACCACTGTGCGAATCTGTGTGGATCGAATGTGGCAAGTCACCCCTAAACAACGGAAAAAAATTAATCATTGGCAGTGGGTATCGCTCTCTTGAATAACTTGAATAACTTTTTAAACGAATCATCTGGAAACTCACCTATATCTGAAATAATATATAATAATATTTCTTTGCAACAGCCAACTTCTATTGCAAATGCTTTCAGCGATTTTTTTTCTAGCATTCCTACTACACAATCGGGCATACCAAAATGTTCCATTTCTCGGGTCGCTTCTTCATTTTTTCTTTTGCCCGTAACCGCTGACGAAGTATGCTCAGTTCTCTTGAATCTAAAAAATAAATGCGCAGGTCTTGACAATATTTCTGCGTATCACTTAAAACTGGTTGCGCGTAATATTTCTGGGATACTTAGTGATATCATTAATCTAATGTTTCAGCAAGGCGTATTTCCTAAACTGTTAAAGAAATCTAAAATAGTTCCGGTATTCAAAAAGGGTGACAAAAGAACAGTTTCTAATTATCGGCCCATATCAATTCTTTCTTCCCTCAGCAAAGTTATTGAAAAACTGTTCGTTGATCGTTTAAGTAATTACCTAAGCAAATTTAATATACTTCATCCGTGTCAATTTGGCTTTCGTTCAGGCAGTTCGACAAGCTTAGCACTAGTTTCATTATTAGATTACTTAAAAAAATCGATTGACTCTGGTAAATTTGTTGGATATGTCTTCCTAGATTTCACCAAGGCCTTTGACACCATTAATCATGCCACCATGTTTAACAAATTGGAGGCCTATGGGGTAACTGGAGCTCCATTAACCTTCCTGAAAAATTATCTGCACAATGGAGAATGCTCGGTGTACGTATCAGGCGCTTCTTCTGAAACTAAGCTAATCAATCAAGGCGTGCCCCAGGGGTCTATTTTGGGCCCTTTATTATTTATTATTTATATTAATGATCTTGTCGATGCAATTAAATCAACTCACTGCGTGTTATACGCCGACGACACGACTATAACTGCAGCTGAGGACTCTATAACTTCTCTTGCTTTACACTTGAATAACACACTTCTAGATATTAGTAAATGGTGCTACGAGAACCAACTTATTATTAACCCAGCCAAAACCAAGTTTATGATATTTAGGTCCGCTCAAAGGCCATTGCCTTTTCATCAACCCTTAACCCTAGGTCCTCACTCTATACCCACCTGTGATACTGTAATTTTTCTTGGTGTACACCTTGACTGCCATTTAAAGTTTAATCTCCACACTGATCACCTCAGAAAGAAAACTGCATTCGGAATTCGGGCTATAATAAAAGCTCGTGAAGTTTTTCATATAAACGTACTTATGTCTCTGTATTTCGCCTTCATTCATTCCCATATCATGTATGGTATCGCTGCTTGGGGAAACACGTATGACTGTCACCTATCACCCATTCAGAACATACAAAATCAGGCGATCCGCATTATCACTAATAGCTCACGATACTCCAGTGCAGGCCATCCACTCCAAGACAACAAAATCCTACCTGTTCGTAAGTTATTTTTTTATAGCATAGCCGTTCTTCTGTTTCAATTGCGCAATGCACTGCTACCGTTTGAGTTCATTGATTCAGTTTTCTTACAAAACAACAATGTAACCAGATTTGCAATGAACCTTAACTTTTTGCTACCCGCGTCGCGCACAAATTAGGGAAAAATGACCACTGCCTATGCGGCCATTACTTCATGGAATAACATGCCTCTTTCTGTTAAAACGATGCCCACATTGTCATCATTCAAAAAGTCGCTTAAAAGTTTTCTGGTAAATTATTAGCTGCCTGTATATGTGCATTTTGGGGGCTTTGCGTTTTTAGTAATGCCATTTAGATCATTGCATTTCGATTGACAATGTCCGCCACTGAACGAGATGTTTTTTTTTTCGTTCTTTCTTTTTTCTTTCCTTATTTGCCTTGCTTTTTTGTTGCCTGGTGTGTCACTTAGCCTATAATATTTATTTATCACTCTGTATTGTATAATTGATTTCCATTCACTCGTTGCTTGTTAACTTGATCAGATTTATTGATTGTTATAATGAATCGAGGGTCCCGTTACAGTTTTTAACTTTGGGACCCCCGTCTGTATATTAATATTACTGTACTACTTTTTTTGAAATGAATAATAAACTGAAACTGAAACTGAAACTGAAGTTGATCGCCAATGAACCACGTACCACCCCACCGCGGTGGTCATAGTGGCAACGTCCTTAGATACAGTATCTAAAGACGTTGTCTAGTGGCTAAGGTACTAGGCTGCTGACCCGCAGGTCGCGGGATCGAACCCCGGCTGCGGCGGCTGCTTTTTCGATAGAAGCGAGAATGCTGTATGCCCGTGTGCTCAGATTTGGGCGCACGTTAAAAAACCCCAGGCCGTCGAAATTGCTGGAGCCCTCCACTACGGCATCTCTCATAATCACATGGTGGCGTTGGGACGTTAAACCCAACAAATCAATCAAGAAGCCACGTACCGGGTATGCATGCAGTCGTTGTTCCCCAGACGGCAGGCGACGAGCATGTGGCGCAGCTGGTGTCCCATGTTTCGCACAACGCTCCGGTTGAGGCGCCTTTTGCGCGCCATTCACAGCCACAGCTCGGACTGCAGCGCCGCGTCTTCCAGGTTGGGCTGCGCGCCAGATCAGTTACGAATCAGTCACGGGGCCTCCATGGCACGCCATTTCGGTCATTGGCACATCTACTGTGGTACGGGGATGCGGTACCCCAGGGCCTACGTAATTTTAGAATAAAAGCTCTCAAAGCTCAACATTAAACGTCGGGCATGCGCAAAAAACTCTCCGCGTCCTTGCTTATCCCACGTCATTGGTTATCAGCTGCGCCCACTGACGGATGCAATGCGCACTGCCATGGGGCCGCTTCTCAACTTGGTGCGAGCCGATTACGAGCGATAATATAGGCCCTCGCTTCTGCCGCTGTACACTTTAGGCACCCGACAGCGGACCAGAGGGCGCAACGAAGCTCTTCGGGCCGCCTCATCATTGTTGGTACCGACCGCCAGAGATACTAAGAAGAACATGGAACGCTCGCTGAACAGTGACACGCTGAAGTGTCAGTGCCCTTTTTGGCTCATTTTCACAGAACGCTTCCTGGGCGCTACGTAATCAGCCATAGCCCCCTTCCTCACAAACTAAAAAGAAAATGATATACACGTGCAAGTTCGGTTTTGCTGCGTCTACTCGCTAAGCTACGCATTGGAAGACTCGGTTTTGCTGCGCCTACTCGCTAGGCTGTGTGTTCTGGCGCTAGCATCTGATCTCTTAAACTGCAATGCCGGGTGCCTATAGTACGAGCACTGGAGTTATAGACATTCTAGTGTAATCGTTGACAGGCTATGGCTCGATTCTTCTTTGTCTACGCCAGGAGTTCACCTGACAGCCTTACTGAAGCTAATAGCTTTACTAAGATAAGAGCTTTACTGATATAAATGCAATACAATGTGCTGTGTGGAAGCAATATAAAAAGCTGAACTTGCCGAAAGTATTTTTAGGCGGGCTGGTCGGCTCGTTAGTGTGGCAGAAGATAGCAAACTATGAACACAGCACCCTGTCCTCTGCGTTTCACTACCCCGTAGTTTGCGCTGTTCTGTTGGAATGAACTTATCAACTCCCAAAATATTTTTATTCAGCCGCATCTAAAATAACTTATGACCATTAAGAGTCATGACCTAACACTCGACAACTGACTGAGCTTTCTGTCGAATCTATTCTAATTGGTTTTCTTGGTTTGGCTTCTACAATCCCTTGTCGTATATAATCAATATATTCCCTTATTCCTGCTTATATGTGCTGAAAACATTAAAAAATACTGTTATTCTCT